CCAATCCTCCCTTTTCTTTTGGTTCTTTTTAAAATGTGTCCTTGTTCGTTTCTCATATTACGATTTTTGTAGTCAACCACATTGGAAGACTTTATATTTATTAATTACATTATACTTTGTTATTTTGCTCGCGTTATTTATTGATTACGCGCGGCATAAAATCTGATTCATAATTTAAACATAAAATACAAAATTCAATTTCTGCATATTTATTAATAAGTATTATATTCTCCCGATGCTTTTTTTACATTGTTGCGAAATTTAGGGTTGATACCCTTTTATTTACTCTAAACAAAACTAGTATCCGACATTTTTACATTTTCACATACCCACGCACACCCACTTGCGACTTACACACATGACCTTGTCAGATCATCATGATTTTTTAGTGCGCACAGTATACATGTACATTATATGCTGTGCAGTACTTGATTATCCATTTTATGGTTTACGCCGAACGAGTGTTTGTATGTTTTTATGTGTGTCAAAGGACTATGGTATACATACATGTATTCCCTTTTAATCTTTTTGGCGCCTCTTTTGAGAAGTTCATCGTTACGGTTATGAAAGAAATAGCGTGATTATGAGATAACATTAGTTTATTAAGGTTTCATATACTTGATGTCAGTGTGCTTTTCTGTTTTCAGGGATTTCTAAATAGAAAAACATTGTTTGATAATATATACTAAATACATATTTAACATTAAAAAAAGCAACATCCCATATCTAGACAATCCAAACAATATTTATCTTCGACTATTAATAAAATAATCATCCCAGTTCTGTCATACGGGTTGGTATTGGACGAATCTCTGTCCCGTCGTAATATTCCAAAGGTAAAAACTGCGGCAGATAACAATCAATTATTTCGCCTTTTTCCAGTAGGATAGGAGAAATCTTTCCGTCCATCACTATTGAAATTGATAGTGAAAAGAAATTTTCTATCCTTAAAAATTCGTTAATGATGAAGCAACCATTATCCCAATATAGTCTTAGAAAAGA